AAGCAAGCAAAAGCAAAACCTTCCTTCTTTGATTGTCCTTCTATGGGCTTCCAGCATCAGGTATGACCCAGATTAAAGTTGTGTCTTCCCACCTCAAGACCTAGGTTAAAGGAATGTATCTTCCCACCTCAAGAACAGGATTAGAGTTGTCTTCTGCTCCAAAGGTCCAGACTAGACATGGATTCACCACTTCAGACCAAGCAGCCTATCCCTCACAGGTGTGGCTTCCCCTTATGCACTGTAGTTCATCCCAGATAGTCAAGTTGACACCAAGAACAGCCCTCACACTCAGCAAGGTGCCCACTGGTATCTGTAAAGGGGAAAGCTGGTGCTGAGTATAGTGGCCTGGACAACAGATAGAGTCTAACATTACATTCTTAAACTCAACTCTTATCTTTTTCTGTGGACTTTATATCAGCATACAAACATGCTAATTGTTTCTCTTAGTTTAAAAAAAAAAACTCTCTTGAGCTGAGCATGGTAGCATATATCTGTAATACCAGCACTTTGGAGTCAGAGGTAGAAAGATCAGGAATACAAGGACAATCTGCTATATAGTGAGTTACAGAGTACATGAGATGCTATCTCCAAAAAAAAAAAAAAAAAGCAACAGAGATCATACCTTTAATCCCAGCACTCTAGAGGCAAAGGCAGGTAAATCTCTACGAGTTCAAACTCAAGGCCAGCCTGGTCTACATAGCAAGTTCCAAGATAGCTAGGGCTATATAAAGAGACTGTCTCAAAAAAAATAAAACTAAAACTAAAAATCTCTCTCTCTTCTCTCTCTCTCATGCACACACATATACAAACATACAGAGAGAGAGAGAGAGAGAGAGAGATCTATAACAGAAGGCTAAAAAGATCTAAAGATCTTAGTTAAGAGCACTTGCACAGGCCGGTGGTCACTCCCTGACACACAAATAAATAAATAATAAATGTTGAAAACACATACATGTGCCTCAGTTGGTGGAGTACTTACCTAGCATGCACAAGACCCTAGGTTCAATCCCACCACTGTATAAACTGAGTGTGGAAGTGCACATCCGTAATCCCAGCATTTGGGAGCTGAAGGCAAGAGGACCAAGAGTTCAAAGACATCTTCTATTACATAGAGATTTCAAAATAATTCAAGGACAGCCTGTCTCAAAACAACAAATTCTCTCTTGATTCTCCTCTCCCTTGGGCCATGGTCCCATTTTGCTTTACCCTTTCAGCCAACTCTCCAGCAGAATTTTTCCTTTGCTTTCTTCCATCTTTTTCAAAAAGATTTGGTTTAAGTGTGTGTGTGTGTGTGTGTGTGTGTGTGTGTGTGTGTGTGTGTGTGTGTGTCCTGAAGGCTTGCAACCTGTAATGGGAAATAGAACTCTACCACCAAAAATAAAGATTTTGCTGCTGCCATAAGAATCTATGTCTCATCTCTAGGCACAAGATTCATATAGCTAAAGTCAACCCTACATTTCCCACTTAAGTGTCTAACATTAAAGGGTCTCAAACAACAGACATGAAACTGAGTACCTGATATTTCCTCTCTTAATAAAATGGTAACTTCATTCTCTCAGATGCTTAGGCCAAAAATCTTTGAATGGGAATGAGTCCATCTGGAAGTCCTCTCTTCAGAGTACATCAGAAACAGACTCTCACAGTCCTGGACCATGCACCTGTCATCTCATGCAACATTAATTCAGCAGTGTCCCCCCCTTCTCTTTCTACATCCTCAACAGACATCAGGCTTCTTTAACACAGGAGACATGCCTGGACATCACTCTTCACCTCCTTGATGCTTAACCAATGCAAACGTCACCATTGCCTGCCCTCCCCCAGGAAATAATAAACTACATCTGCCAGGGGGATGTTTCCTTGTTGGTATATTCCCAGATCATGAACTGAGCAGATATGCAACAACTATAGATGAATGAAGCCCCAAGATCAAGTTTTCACAAATCTTACTCTACTTTTGCACTTATTTTACAAGTCAAAACTGTCCTTCTCGGGGCAGGAGAAATGGCTCAATGGTTTAGAGCACTTGCTGTTCTTGCAGAAGACCCTGGTTTGGTTTCCAGCACCCATAGAGCACCTTGAAACTACCTACAACTCCAGTCCCAGATGGTCCAATGTTCTCTTCTGGCCTCCTCTGGCATTGCACCCACTTTGTATATGAAGACAAAACACTTATTCACATAAAAATAAATCTTTTTTAATGTCCTCATCACTCCATATTAAACTGGGTTCTCTGTTTTCTTGCCATGAGTCAGCCTAAATAATGACCATGTGTTACTCTGTGTAATCCTCACACCTCTGAGTATTAGGGACATTCCTTCTACCCACCAATGGGAGAGGTAAACTGCATGTGAGAGGCCACAAGCTGGCATCTCAAAGCCAGCATCCCCACTTCTACCTCCCAGTCCATCTGACAATTGCCCAGACTATGGAATGTGACAGTTTCCCCTGAAAACCAGTAGGACTATACAGAGTCAGGGGCTTTGGGCCAACAAGGTAGGAGATTACAAGAGGAACAAAGCATGTGACCCTCAAGTATCGTCAGATGACAAAATCATCACTGCTTTCCTGATTTATTTCACGCCCTTGCATTCCAGTTTGTCTTGGGGCTATGCTTGTTGCAGACATGTCCCTTGTCCCTCTCTTAGGTCCCCATTCTGTGTACTCAGTACTGCATCTAGTACAATTTAGACTTTGAGTGAACAGATGGACAATGTGTTTCAAGTGTAATTCTGCTTAATAGCATTCATTTATACCTTTAAAATCCCAATTGAAGAGCTGGAGGGATGATTCATCGGTTAAGAGCACTTGCTGCTCTTCCACGGGGCCCAGGTTTGATTTCCAGCACCCATCTGGTGACTCATAGCTGTCTATAACTCCAGCTCCAGGAGATCTGATGCCCTCTTCTGGCTTCTGAGGACACCAGGCATACACATCATACACAGACATACATGCAGACTAAACACTCATATACATATTTTTTTAAATCCTGACTGAGTACACGGCTTGTGCCAAGCACTTTCCTTATGACATTTACATCCTAACAAGGGTGCAGACATTTAAAATAATAATAATCACATAATGGTTTACACCTGTAGTCCCCAAATATGGGGGCCTGGACTAGGCAGGTTAGCCTGGGCTATACAGGAAATTCCAGGCCACTCACTCTAACCCACATAAACTAATTAATTAATTAATAAACAACCAATACCATAAAATAAAAAGATGGGGAGTGCTGTGAAATAGGACAGGAGGCATCCCTAATTAAGAAGAGAAGTTGTCAATCAGGGAAAAGGCGGGAAATCGCCCATGCTAAGGAAGGAGGGTGGTGGACCTGTAAAACTGATAATCTCATCTTCTTCCCAGTGGCTACCTGTGCTTCCTAAAGTCTGCCAAAGATGTAGGACTCAAGTCCACTGGTCCTCACTGTAGGTGGAACCAGCTGTCCTTAGTGTTTATATCCAGAAATCCTGAGCCTAGCAGCTTGTTTGTTTGTTTGTTTGTTTGTTTGTTTGGAAGGGGTGCTGGATATAATTCAGAGAAATAAACTAGTCACTGAAAGCCAAACTGCTGAGGAGTTTCTGGAGTGGCTCCAGAACTTTATATTAGGGGCCAAGACAGGATCCCAGCAGGGAGGGTTTTACAGAAGACAGGCTGTGTGTGAATATGGCTAAGGGCTTTGCCTGGAAGGGTTGGGACAACAGCTAGTCACTGGCCACTGATGGCAGTGTCCCTTTTCTCTGCCGCCCTCCCAACCTTGGCAGCACATGTTCAGGTCTAGCTGGCTGCTGCTGGAAATCTGGCTCTGACTAGAGGAAGGAGTTAAGAAAGCCCTGCTGAAGGCCAGAGAGACAGACCTGTGTTTATCCAGGAAAAGAAGACATAGGCAGCAGAGGCCCCTGCCAGCTCCTCCCAGAAAGACGGGGCCCTGGGGGAGCAAGCTAGAGAGGAAGCTGATCCCCTAGGGCTCTGCACTGTGGGGACAGAAGCCAGAGGCTGGTTTCCAGCTGCCGCCCACGGGTAAGATTTGCACTCTGGGTGCCTGACATGCGCTCGGAGTCCCTGGCACTTTCGTTGCTCCTGTGACTCCATGCAGGGGAGCCTTGAGCCGCTGCAAAGAAGTCTCCCTGGACCCACACTAGGGGTATGGGGGTGGAGAATCAATGGTGCCTTTGTGCTCTGAGCTTTCCTAAGAGTGGACAGTGGGAGGGACCACTCAACTGCCCAGCTCTGCCTTACAGCCTCAGGATGTGGCCGGGCTGAGAAGCTGGGGGGAGGGGGTGTAAAGAGGAGAGGAGAGGGGTTCTGTGACTCACCGAAAGAGGTGAATCTCTCTGCACTGGCTCTGAGTGTCTGTAGATCAGCAATCAGGAGTGTTCCTAGCTGCTAGAAGCAGAAGTGAGTCTCTTTCAGGAGCAACTTGAGAAGGTGAAGGGTGATTTGGGGGAGGAGACAAGAGTCAGATCGGGCTAGAGCTCAAGAATAGATCAATCCAGAGAAGCAGGCTCAGAAGCTGCCTGAGCAGAGAAGGAGCCTCGAGAGCCCCAGACCAGATCATGGGTGTAGGACAAGGGGCCAGCCTACCTAGGGCAGCGATAATCGTATGGAGCTAGAGTACATATATGATCAGGATTCATATCTGGATCCATGATTCTGACTATAAGCCTTTGGGTCATATGGGTGTTGATTCCCTCTAACCCTGATGTGAGTGGAGTAAACTAGGCCTCCATCTGAAAGTGGTTTTTAAAAATTTATTTATTTTATATGTATGAGGGTTTTGCCTGCATGTATGTATGTATGTGCACTGTGTCATGCCTGGTGCCTGCAGCTGTCAGAAGAGGGTGTTGGATCCCTTGGTATTGGAGTTATGGGCGATTGTGAATCACCATGTGGGTGCTGGGACCCAAAGCCAGGTCCTCGGCAAGAGCAGCAAGTGTTCTTAACCACTGAGCCATCTCCAGACCTTCCATCTGAAAATCTTACTGTCTAACCCTGTGCTCCATTTCTCCAGTTTCCAGACTTCACCGTTTTCTTTTACCTGCTTATAAATACCAGCCTTGTGCCCCATGAGTTTGGGGACAAGGCCACGGAGGCAGCCGGCCAAGTATTGGCTCTCAGCAGCACCACAGACCTTCCCACCCCCTTCTCTTTTCTCAGCACACCCCTGTCCAGGGCTTCCAACCTGGAAGCTGGATTTGGACGTTCTCAGCCTCAGTGCTTCATCATCCCCACCCACTGCATGTGGCTCTTGGAGAAAGCCGGCTACAGGGCAGAGACCGGGGCGAGGCAGGCGCACTCCAGCCTGGTCCCCAGGCGCCGGGCCCCACGCTCGCCCTCGCACTGCAACCCTAACATCCTCACCCCGGACCGCATCCCGCAGTTCTTCATCCCGCCTCGGCTCCGGGACCCCAGCGGCGCCGAGGCCAAGGTGGACCGCAACCTGGGCGGCCGGAACCTCCCCGCCACCTGCTCGCTGCCGCACCTGGCGGGCCGCGAGGGCTGGGCCTTCCTGCCCGAGAGCCCGCACACGCGCCGCCGGGAGTCCCTGTTCCACGTGCCGCGCGGCCTGGCTGCAGGTCTAGCCCCGGCGCAGTCGCGGCTGCACGTCTCGGCCCCGGACCTCCGCCTGTGTCGGGCCCCTGACAGCGACACGGCCTCGTCGCCCGACTCGTCTCCCTGCGGCTCCCCGCGCACGCCTTGGCCGCACTCCTTGTCCCCCGACGAGACTGGCTCGGCAGACACCAGCCCGTACGCGGCGCGCCGCACGCCGCCGCTCTTCCACCTGGACTTCCTCTGCTGCCAGCTGCGGCCCATCAAGGACAGCGTGCTGCGCCTGGAGCCCCGCGGCGGGCAGCTGCGCCTGTCCACCGAGTACCAGGCGGGGCCCGGGCGCCTGCGGCTGCGCCTGGTGAGCGCCGAGGACCTTCCTCGGCCGCGGGCCCGCCCCGGGAGCGGCGGCGGCGGCTGCTGCGTGGTGTTGCGGCTGCAGCCACGCGTTAGGCCGCGAGCTCAGCGGAGCCGCGTGGTCCAGGGCAGCTCCAACCCGATCTTCAATGAAGATTTCTTCTTCGAAGGGCTGGGCCCGCCAGACCTGGCCGCCCGCAGTCTGAGGGCCAAGGTGCTGGATAGGGGCGCGGGGCTGCGCAGGGACGTGCTGCTGGGGGAGTGTGAGACGCCCCTCGTCGCCCTGCTGCCCCCACTGGCTGGGGGTCTAGGCCCAGGGTCTTCCCTGGCACCTGCACATCTCAGCCTGTAGACTGACACCACAGCTTCCTTGGCCCCCACTGTGTCTGCAGCCCTCATTCTTGTCATCTGCCCAACGTGTATTTATTTTTGTTAATAAAACATCAGTTTGTCTCTAACTACATGCTCCCCAGTGGGCACCAAAAACTCTAGGCTTTGCAGCAACTCTTTTCCTTCCTTCTGCCCAGTCCACTAGGATGAGCAGGAGCAGAACTTCAGCAGTGGTCCAAAAGATTGAGAATACGCAGCCATCAGAAACTCTGGAAGTGCTTGCTAAACATGCAGAGCCTAGTATCCATCCCCAAGAGATGCTACTTCAAAAGGACTAGGCTGAGTGGGGTCGAGCGAGGGTCCTGCCTTAGTTTTATTTCCATTGCTATGATAAACTACCCCCCCAAAGCAATTTTTACAAAGAAAGGGTTTATTTGGTTTACAATTCCAGATGGTAGACCATCATTGTGGAGAAACCAAGGCCAGGACTTGAAGCAGCTAGTCACATTCACAGTCAGGAGCAGAAAGAGAGAGAACTGGAGAGGCTCAGTGGTTGAGAGCACTCTTGTCCTTCCAAAGTACCCAAGTTCGGTTCCCAGCAACCACTGGCAGCTTACAACTGCCTGTGAGACTCTGGTTCCAGGGGAACTGATGCCTTCTTCTGGCCTCGGAAGGTCAGACATGCACATACATACATGAATATACATACATTCATATAAATAAAAATAAATAAACCAGAGAATGGTGACTCGTGCCTTTAATCACAAGCACTCGGGAGGTAGGGGCAGGTGGATCTCTGAGTTTGAAGCCAGCCTGATCTACAAAGCAAGTTCCAGGCCTGGAAGGTGGAGTTTCTTTGGGCCACCACACAGACATGGAGGCCCACTATCAATTATGAATACTCAGCCCTAGCTCGGGCATGGTTTTAGCTAGTTTGTTTTTTAACTTAAATTATCCCATTTCTATTAATCTATGTGCTGCCCCAAGGCTCATTTACCTCGTCTACATACTGTCCTTTCCACTTTCCTGCTTCCTCTGTGTCTGCCTGGGCCCCCACCTCCATCCCTGCTCTGTCTAGCTATTGACCATTCAGCTTTTTATTAGACCAATCAGGTGCCTTAGGCAGGAAAGGTGAAACAACACATCTTTACATAGTTCAACAAATGCATCGTAAACAAATGCAACACAGCTTTACATAGTAAACAAATATTCTATCCCACAGTATGGGTAGGTAGAACTTTCACATTAATTAATTGTAATCAAGAGAATCTCCCACTAAAACACCCACAGGCCATCATGATCGAGACAGTTCTCTTACCAGGAGATTCTAGGCTGTGTCCTGACAATTAAAACTCCCCATCACAGGTTTCTAGAGTTCAACAAAAGCCTGCACCTTCAGAGAATCCTTCAGAGCTCTAGGAATAGAACCAGAACACAAAGCCACCCTCCCCTGATGAAGGTGTCTTGGGTCTGCACAGAGGAAAATGACCCTTTCTACCTACCCCTTAGACCAATGTCTGTCCTGAAGACAAATGAAAATTTGAATCTTTAGAGTGAGTCAGGGAGCACAGTGCCCTTTAAACCTCCCTACCTCCCTCTGGCCAGTCCCATCCATACCTGTTCACCTGTGTACCTGTGCAGCTGCACACCTGTGTACCTTTGCGCCTGCTCATTTGTGTACCTGCGCACCTGCACACCTTCGAACCTGTGCACCTGTGCTGCAGGAGCAGGAAGAATGGCTGGAGTCAAGAACTATGGAGTAAGCCAGCCAAGCATGGTACCAAACCCCCTTAATCCCAGCACAAAGACAGGCTGATCGATCCCTGAGTTCAAGCCAGTCTGATCTATAGCTCCCAGGACAGCCAGGGCTACACAGAGAAACCCTGTGGGAGAGGGGGACACGGAGCAGTGCTTGGGGTTGTGGGAACTGGGATCTGGGAAAGGGGATGCTATCAGGGAGTGAAAGCTATTATCAGGGACGCCAGAAAAGTCTACTTCAGCCAGGAGGAGGTGAGGGCGAAAGGCAGTGAAATAAAAGTGGGTCAGCCTGTGTTTACCTTTACCTGAAAGTCTCTGACGTCAACAGTGACCTTCTCTCTACCGCTGCTTTCATGGGAACTGGTTCCTCCTGGCTCAAACCAGACTCAGTTTCTTCCTCCTCCCCCTTGGACCTTTTCTCACTTTCCAAGGCGCAGGCTTTGCCCCCCACAGGGGCTAAACCTGCTTGCTCCGAACAAAAACCTCAGCAGCAGCCTCTCCCTCCCTCTCTCCCTCCCTCCCTTTATTCCCCCCCCCCACCTACTCTCTCTCTCCCTCCCTACCCCCTCCCTTCCCAAGTCAGAAGGTTCCCAGTTCCTTTCTTCTCCCTCCAGTAAGCCCTTGCTCATAGTGTCCACCAGGTGGTGCTATTGACCAAACAATTCTCCCTGCTGATAGGCCTTGTTCAACAGCTTCAAAAGTTCCTCCTGGCAACTGCTATAAGGTGAGTTTACAGCTGGGATTCAATGTGACCTTGGGCCTTAGTCAAATAAGAAAGAATAAAACTAAGTAGTATGGCTCGTGGTACTTACTGCAAAGCCTGAGAATCTGAGTTCAATCCTAAAGACCCACATGGTGGGAGGAGAGAGCTGACTCACACACATGTAAGTAGATACAACTTTTTAAATGTTCATTAAAAGCCTAAGGTGTATTTTCTACTGGGTGATAGTTCTTCAATCATTTCTCATCCTGGCACTTTGGACTCACACCTAAGATCCACCCCCACACATCGCTCGGTCTCTACTGTGCTGAACTGTGTGTCTACATCAACCTTGAAGTTCTTTCATAAGAACCCTTAGTAAGCGATGAGACTTGAAAGTATCTGGGAAGATGTCTATAGGTCAGATCACCTTCATTCATCCATCCCTCAATAATGCTAACGAGAATCTATGGGGTGCCAGGCAGTGGAGAAGGTCATGATCAAAATAAACACAGGAATCAACTGAGTTATAAAATGAACAAGTAAGAGTAAAAAATTAGTTGGTAACATTTCATGGACAAAAGTAAAGTAAGGGAAGAGAGGGAGGCAGGATTACAGGAGTAGAAAAGACAGGGAGGGACTGAAATACTCCTTTTTTTAGCTGCAGTACTTTGTACTGGGCCCTGTACTTTACCCATTGGTCTTATCTCATCACCACAGGCGAGGGAGGCATTATTATTCCCAGTTCACAAAGGCAGAAAGAGATTAGAGAGGTTAAATAAACTTGCCTGAGGATCGACTTTGGCTGCAAGGAAGATTCCTGACAGTGACTCTAGACAAACATCCCCTGCTACAACCCACCTTAAGGGTTTGGGGAGTCTATGAGGTGCAAAGGCCCCCACAAGAAGTTCTGCCACATTTCCTAGGAGCACACATTTCCTCAAGGCTCATGACAGGGACACACAGTCCCAGACACAGATATATGCCTTGGGAGCAAATGAATCCTAAGAACCTATCCTGTGTGCAAGCAGCTCAGGCCACAGCATCACAACACAGGCTGACACCCATGGTACCCACCTCACTCCCCCTTTTGGCTGAAAGTTATGACAAAATTCAGGGCTCATGGCTGTTACCCAGCAGACCACATTGTTAAAGTCTTCCTTGTCCCCAAAATCAGAGCTCCCAGTTTTGTTCTTTGTAATTGTTTCTGGGGGGGGGGCTCTAATGTAACCCAGGCTAGCCTCTAACTCCTTATGCAGCTGGGATGACAAAGAACCCCCTGATCTTCCCAGCCTCATCTCCCAAGGGCTGGGCTTATAGGTGAGCACCCTCCTACCAGGTTATAAGGTCCTGAGGGTTGAATGCAGGGCTCCACCTCCAGCCCCAGTTCCTGCTTTTGAACTCTGCTCACCTCCAAGCCCACCCCAGTTTAAACTGGGAAATGAGAGCTATAAGCATGGTCACCACACAGAGCTGCGGGCCTCGACCACTCCTCCTCCACTGAACCTCTGCGAAGGTGACAGGGTTGGAGGCTAAACAGTAGAAGCCACAAATGTTCCACAAAGCTTGCATGGTCTGTTTTTGTTTGTTTGTTTGCTTTTATGGCCAAGACACCATCCTCTCCTCTAAGTCATTCTGGAGGGTTGAGGCCTCCCCAGGTATGAAGCCCCTGAGACTCAAAGGAAGGTAGTCCCGAAAGCACTGTATTAGGCTCCAGGAGGAGCTGCCCCTCTGGGCTAAGCCAGGCTGAGAATGGCATCAGGCTGCCCGGACCCCACAGGTTTCTCTCTACCCAGCACCTTAGATCCTCCCTGGAAGGACAGGCCTGTGCTGAGCTTTAAGTGGTTTCTGTGGTTTAAGGGGTGGGGAGGAAGGGAAAGAAGAGTTGGTGGCTGCTCCCCATTTCCAAGCCACCACCACCCCCCTCCAGGTCGTTTGCCCCCAGCTTTGAGATTTCTGAGTCTGATAAAGGGGACTGGGCACGTGAGGGTAGAGTGAGTCTCTGATCCCTATCAGCCTCTTCCTTGCATAAGAATGTATTTGAGGAGGAAATAACCCCTGCCCTGCTAAGAAAGCACAAATTCCTACAGGAAAGGAGCCTTGGTTACCGGGAGAGGCCGGTAGGACAGCCAAGAGGGGGAGCTAATTAGCCATAGAGGCTAATCCCAGAAAGGCTAATCCCAGGACCTACTCTGCTCTCTTTACCAGCTGAGCAAGGTCCAAGGTCACACTGGATAACCACGGTACAAGGGCAACAAACGACTGAAGCTGTTGAAGCAGTTGCCTCTGTGGTCTCCATCTCCTGGGAGTTGTGAGCAGGGAGGATTCCCGGTCATGGTGTCAGTCTGGGTAGGGGAAGGAACCTAAAACCCTCCACCACCACCACCCCAGCCCCCAACAATCACACCCAAGCCAGAGGCAGTGACCAAAAGCTGGCTGGAGTATCTCATGCCTATAGCCCCAGCCTTCCCTAAGAAGGCTGAGGGAATTGGAGCTTCATGAATGTTCAAGGCCATCTTGGACTAGACTGGGAACCCATCTCCACAACAGCAAAGCAATGAATGGCCAAGAAGCAAATGGCCTAGAGCCAGGACCCTGTCTTCCCAACCCCCCACTCATCCCTGGGCATTCACTCACATAGGAGCATGAGGTGGTCCAGTGGGGGAAGCA